CATATAATTTTAGTTTTTTTCTCGAGGATTTAAGTAGGCCTTTAGTCAATGGGGATAGAAATGATTTAGAATATATTACTTTTAGTTTAGTTGGAAATGCCTTATTATACATTTTACATAATTGGTTCAAGATTGTAGTTTAAGATTCTAATTAATGTATTTGTTTAATAAAGTTTTAAAAGGGCATATCAAGGTTTTATTAATTTTTGTCACGAATACTGATGGTTCAAGGGGAGTATTATTAGGAGTTACACTATCAGTAATTATGAATATCGGGAAGTGATCCGTTAACTCTGCTTTGATTATACCCGTTTAATAGCGGCTAGTAAGAAAATTGTTAACTTTTATAAGGTCTAGTAATGTTGATGAGCTTTTAGTTACTCTTGTTGCTTTGTAAAAAGTTCGGATAAGATTATATTCAAGAAGAGTAAAAGATTTCAATTCTTTTAAGCATGAGCAAGTTAATGTTTATGTCCCCAATTACGTAAACATGCTTCTGCAATACATTTTTTGAGCTTAAGAAAGTGCCCATAAAAGTTTTGAGTATTTTGAAACTGCCAGCTGGTTGTCTATAAAAAGCATTGACGAAATGTTTTTGGTAAATTTGTTAATTACCTCAATGCATAATGACTCACAATCTGTGTTTGCATTAAGACTATTATGTTTAATAAGATCAATAGAATTGTGACTGTAAATGCTTACGCCACCATCTACGCAAGTTGTGCGCATTTGATGCACTGATACGTAATTTGTTAACTGAATTTTAGAATTTTTTTTCATTTATTTCAAGCCTTGTTTCTGTGAAAAAAATGATTCTAAAGACATAATTAAGTTCATTCAATAAACATTTAAAATTTTAGAAACTTTTATGCATACTTCGAATATTAATATGCAAAATTGTAAATTTATTCATATTCTCACAAAGATATTGAGTAGGTTTAGATATTGAGCAGTACTCACTTTCTAAAATGGTTTTAATATAGTTACCAGATTTATCATTATTGCTTAGAATGACATTTTTAACATTAATATAATCAAAGAAATTTTTCTCCATTTTTTAAATGTTAAAATAAAATCTAAAAAATCAACTATTGTAAATAAAATAAAATAGATTACTCAAAGAAATATAAAACATTTACTTTTCTTTACGAGACCATTGACAAACGATCAACTTGTCGTACGATATAAGTGTAAATTTGTACCTTCTAGTGCTTTTTTAATTTTGAACCGTAACTCGTTTCTGATTTGTGTTGTCTCCGCACATTAATCCTCGTTGATAAAGTTGTTTTTCCCTTTTAATTTTTTAGAGTTTTTTAAAATGCTTATCTTATCCTTGTAGTTAAGCAATTTTAAAACTATAGTCCTCACTTTGCTACTGCCTCTTGATCCAGTTCTATAAGCCCTTTTCTATTTTTGTTTCTTTCAATCCAAGAGTTTCTTCAAACAATTTCAATACTTTCCTATTGCTATCACTTTAACTTTCATTTTTACTCTCTTTCAAGCCATCAATTCTTAGGTTGTTTCATCTCGACCTATCTTCAATTTCCCTTAGCTTACCTTTTCCCTTAAACAACTCACTATTATTTTTTAACTTTTTGCTTATCTCCTTTGTTTTTGATTTAACTCAAATTTCTCGTTAGCAATATCATAATTTGTTTGATTATACTTCTTTATTTCTAGTAAATCCGTTTCCAAAGAGATGACTTTTTAATTTGTTTGATCAATATCGTTTTCAAGTTTTAGTACTATAGCATTTTTCATTTATCTATGTTTGTTTGTTTAATTCTTATTTGTTAATATGTTACGAATTGCAGCATCGGCAACTTTAACCTGTGTTAAATGAGAAAAAAATTTTACATTTTTTATTCATATAATAGGAAGAATATAGGTAATAAATGCAAAACTTAATGTCAAAGAAAAATTAATTTAAAAACGTCATTGTATAACAAGTACGCGCATGTGTTGCGAAGGTTAGGATTTTTTTCATATTGTAAATAATTCAACTTAATTCAAAGATATAATATCTTTGAATTAAGTTAAATTATTCTTTCCGAGCATCTGCATATTCTTGCCGAGTTTAATGACTTTCACATGCAGAAAAATTTATAATGAGGTCACGAACACAGTTTCTATTGCTTCCCTGTGAGAACACGTCGTCCGTCAAACGTCTCATGAACGTGTAGACGTCTAACGGACGTGTACTGGTTAACACATGTCCACTGGGTTTCATCAATTTATGTTTTTCTTTTAATTATTTGTTATTTAAGGTACCCCGAGTAAATGTACCCAGCGGTTCTCTGTGACAAGTCCTAACGACCTTGTCACCGCAAAAGTACATTTAACCGCGGAAGTGCATTTTTTCATTCTGTCTGCTGTTGCATTACAGAACAAGCAACAGTGAGTACCTAAGTATATATATATATATATATATATTATATATATATATATATATATATATATATATATATATATATATATATATATATAGTATATATATATATATATATATTATATATAAACTTGCAAACGCAACCACGCTTTCAAAGCATATATGGGATACAGAAAATAACTCAAAAACAACACCTAATTTAAAATGGTCTATCATAAAAACCGCCCACGCCTACAACAACACAACCTAAAAACGGCAGTTACGCTTATACGATAAACAAATAGTTTTATTGTATAAAAACCCTAAAGAAATAATAAACAAAAAACCAAACTAATATCCAAATGTCGCCATAATAAAAAGTTTCTTCTCTTGTACAGAATTATTATTTTTTCACGAAAAAAAAAAAAAATTATACCTGATGATTGGATTTAGCATGAAACTTATTATGGTAAAAAATATGTAGTTTTATATATATATATATATATATATATATATATATATATATATATATGCATAATATATATATATATATATATATATATATATATATAGTATATATATATATATATATATATATATATATATATATATATATATATATATATATATATATATATAAATATATATATATATATATATATATATATATATATATATATATATATATATATGTATATACATATATATATATATATATATATATATATATATATATATATATATATATGTATGTATATATATATATATATATATATATATATATATATATATACATATATATATATATATATATATATATATATATATATATGTATATACATATATGTATACATTTATTATATAAATTTGTTTTTATTATTATTATATTAATTTATTTTAATTTAATGGAATTTATTTTAAATTTGAATGGATGTCACGTTTGTTTTAAATGGTTGCAAAACCATATTTTTTTACATATTTTTTATACACATACTGTATTGGCAAAACAACCATGATGTTCAATTAAAACATGCATGATGATAATTAAAACAACCATGATTTTCAGTTAAAATATTTAGCGCATGAGGATATTAGATTTTCATTAAAACATGCAGCGAAATTCTGCAGCCGTATTCTCATCTTTCCCTTAAGCTTAACGCAGGCCCGTGCGGTAGATTTTCTCATTATGAGGCAAATCTTCGAAATGCCGCCCCTTAAATGTTTTTCTTTAAAATAACCTTCGATTGTGATTTAAAAAAAAACTGCACAAAATGTACGAATTCTACTTTTTAATTTGAAATTTTAAAATAATGATTTCAACTATAAACTACAACAATGTACAGTATTACAGCTTTACTCTTCTAACTTTAACTTTAGCAAATTCGTTAATTACTGATGTGTAATCTAGAGTGCTAGCCATTGCAGATTCAATAGAAATTAATGCCAGATTTTTATGTTTTGTTTGTCCTATTGAACTTCTTAAGTAGTTTTTTATTAATTTTAATTTGGAGAAACTTCTTTCCCCACTAGCTACAGATACAGGGAGAGTTAATAAAATTCTCAGAGTTACAACAGTATTTGGATACAAACTAATTAAGCTATTTTGGGATAAATAATTTAAAACATCCAAAGGTTTCGTAGAATATGGTAGCATTCTGGATACATCACGCAATTCTTCTCTAAGGTCATTTGCATTTATATCTGTTTCATTTTCAACCGAAAGTATAAACTCAAGACTGGAACAATAATTTCTAGCGTTTTGTCATCTATATCCTAGAGTTTTAAAATGTCATATAAGAACTGAAATTTTTTGCTATGGGTTTCCAGAAGCGTGAATCGTTCATTCAGAGAATTAAGGGTAATGTCCAGAATATAGTTGAAAAAGTTTATTTTAAATTTTTTCTCCTCTGTTAAGGGTTCATCGACAGCTTTTTCATAGTCAAATTGACGCTTTTTCCTTCTGGGTCTAACTTCAGTGTCATCAGGAAATTCTGTACTGCATTTGAGATTCTCTGCTATCTCCTTTGCAGCAATTTTCATCTGAATATATCCAGATTGTCTATAACTTTTCACTTTTTTTATGGTTTCTGATAGCATCCTTACACAATCTGATATATTTATAGTAACAGATTGCAAAAGCTTCAAAACTGAATTAATTTCAAACAAAATATCATGCCAAAGAATTACTCCACATATAAACTTGTAATTTTTAATATTTTTTGCTAACCCTCTCGCTTTAACTTTAGTTTCTGCATCTCTATTGACGTCTTCTATTATCAGAATCAATGCATCATAGATTTCGCAAAGTTGAAACCGTAAAGGTTTTAAAGCATCTATTCTGCTTGCCCACCTAGTAACACTTAATGGTTTCAGAGTTAATTGAGAAACATATTTTTGTAGCACTTCCCAACGCTTTGTAGAACCAGAAAAAATAGTGTAAAGTTCTTGTACAATAGAAAAAAAAAATGTTGTTTCTGTAGTAGAAGACGCTGCATCATTCACAACAAGGTTTAAAGAATGGCATGCGCAGGGCACATAAAAAGCCCTTGGATATTTTTCAAGTATTCTATTTTGAACACCCTTTCTTACTCCTTTCATATTGGCTCCGTTGTCATAGCCTTGTCTCCTTAGC